ATTGACATTTTTAAAGATATAAGCTCATCCCGATGTTACACTCATCAAAACCTTTCATTTGAGTACCCACATCAATTTTTTATTTATTTTATATATTTATATATATTATATATATGTATTTATATATATATAAATTTGTATATATGAAAAATATATAAAAAATACATGTGGGTACTCAAATAAAAGCTCTTGATGAGTGTAACATCAAAATGAGCTTATATCTTAAAAAATGTCAATATTTAAGAAAGTACAGTTCAATTTACCAAAATTCATTATTTAATACCCCAAAATTTTATTTATTTATAGTCCCAATACTCACTAAAGTCATCCCATCATCATTAAAATCATACCGCCTTATCGTTCTATTGCCGTCTTCCGTAATCGAGACAATAATCAAGCTGTCGTCCTCAATGGTAGTAGTATTCTGTAACCGAACAACACACAGAACAATTTACACGTGGGACATCAGCCAACCTTGACTGTTAAATACCTGGAGTTTAACGCCAGATGGCATCACCTCTTCCCACTCAGTTCCAAGCGTGAATTCCCAGACTTGCGTGCGCATCATAGTCACAGTCGTTACTATCCACTTGTCCCCCTCTTTGGTCACCTCGATCTTCGGGTTGGACATGTTGATCATCTTCCTGACCAGGTAAGGCAGCTCTGCAACAATCCAACAAACATCCTCAATAATAAATAATCAATAACAATTCTAACAATAAGTTAGATAAAAACTTACCTAGAGTCTTGAAGTACTCGTCAAGATTCTCGCTTCGTTCATGCTGATACTTTCCCAGAATTTTGGACATGTTGGATCAGCTGACGCTTTACACACACTAGTGTTTTATTTCTGCCGTAAAGGAATCTTTAAATCTTCCGCTGGATATGTTAGCGAGAGGTAGGAGAAAGGTGAGAGTGGGAATTACGGAATCTAATCTGTAGATAACGGATTTTATTATCATATTCGTGTGTAATAAGTCGAGTGGAGAGAATCCTTGGAGACAGCTAACTAATCAAAGCCTGTTTGGTAATGTAAACAAAAGTCATTTATGTGGAAAATTTTAAGAGTAAAAAGGGTTATTATTGTTGATAATTTGACAAGACATGTTCAGACTCTCCAACGGATCCGTGATGTGGCATCAAAAGTTAGTGAAGAGCTTAAACTGGGTCAACTAATGAGGCTCTTAATTATAATGATAAGAGATAATTATAATTATAATTATTATGAAAGAAGACTACACTGTTAAAAATTTTTATTGTAATTTTACAAGAAATTTATTGGAAGCTAATAAGCAAAACATTTATTTAAAATTACAATTGGGTATAGTAATATTACAAAACATATATAGATGTCAGGTTACTAATTTAACAAGGTTGTGTAATTTTAAAAATATTTTTAGATTAGCTAAGTTTGTAAAATTACAATACTTTCCTTGAATTTAAATAATAATAAATAATAGTTTAAAAAAACTAAAAACACGCTTTTTATAAAAAACCAAACTAAACAAATGGTGTGTGTACTTATGTACACGCGTCAGAAGTTATACTTCTTTGGCATATAATAAAAAAAAATTTAAAGAAAAAAAAATACAAAAATGATCAAAGAAAAATGTTAAAAACAATCAAATAGGTTTTATTATAGTAAAAATTTAGCTATACCGTATAAATATAAAATCATTAATTATCATATGAATTTCATTCAATATTATTAAAGATTTTTCTAAATAAACTAATTTTGGAGCTTTAAAGTATCAATAGTTTACAATCGATAATTATAAAATATTTTAATTATGAAAATTAAGTTAGCTGACATATAAAAATTTTGAGAATTTTTTTTTGATTGAAAAAATTATTAAAAAAAATAAAAAAAAATTTTCACTTGTGAAAAACTTCAAAAACTGTAAGTGCAATTTTTAAAAAGTATTTTTTTGTTCTAATTTAATTATTAAAGATAAAATCAAAAAATTAAAAACGTCGGCTAACTTTAGTATCATTAATTATTTATTTAAAATATATTATGTTTCTTATAAAATAATTCATTATTTATTATTTAACTTAGTGATAATATCTTTTTAATTAATATATTTATTCAAAAATAATGTATACATGAATTAAAAGACAAATATTGTAGTACGAAACTAGATTTTGTTTCCAACAAAATTCCGGAAAATTATTAAAATGGTCTATAATATGAATTTAAAAAAATATGGATAGAATTACTATATTCGATAAGCAAAATGATTGAGTCTGTATTAAAAATTATGAACTCAATAAAAAGATACCTAAATATAATAGGTACACTACAATATTTATATTTTAGTTTAAATATTTTAATTCATAAGATTACTATTATTTTTGGAAAAATATTGATTAAAAGAAAATTATTATCAAGTTAAATAAAAACTAAAATATTTAATTGACCATTTTTTAGAATTGATTATTAATATGAATAATATATTTCATATTAAATGGTATTTCTATCGAATTTGAAAATAACAACGTTTCGTTGGAGACTTTGCAACTAACCTGTATATGAGTTAACTCGTAAAATTATATCGTAAAATTTTACTCTCATCAATTTTTCATAACGCGCCTAAAGAAGTATAACTTCAAAATTTTCACAAAATTCTTTTTATTCTTTTATTTATTATTTAGATGATAAAACTACCGCTAAAAAAAATCTAACACCGTGAATTAATCACAATTGAAGAAAAATTACATTATTAATGTGGATAAATGATTACTTGATCGCATTGCCTTATTCATATATAACATATCTAACTAAACCATAAAAAAGTACTAAAAAAAAAAATTACTTAATATTCTTTTGTTGAAATAATCAAGCCCAGAAGCGAGTCCGCGGGACAGCAATAAAAGTTTCTGTTGAATCAAACCTTGAAGATCTAACGCAGGGTAACAATTGTGAGAACTAAGAGCGCACTTGAGATGAATAAACATTTCGATTCGTTTCTCAGTGGTGCAATTGCTCTCGTTGGCTAGTAGGTCATAGAGATTCTTGAGCTCACGAGCTCTCTGGGTCCTCAGAGTTATCATTTCAATGAGCTTGCCGTTGTATCCAGTCCATCTGACTGGTTTACTGTGAAATGTCAACAACTCTGTGAGCCGGGTACTTGCACGCTCCTCTCTAATAATACGTCGATGCTTTTCCAGGTTTCTCAGCATCTCTGTTATTTTTTCCAGCATCGAGAGATTTTCTGCAATCACCGCTCCTCGAAAAAAACAACCTCGGATCCGCTTCTGATGGTGCTGTCGCCATAATTCAATGAGCGCGTAAATTTTATCGAAGTCTGAGCGACTTTGCGGGTATGTTTGCCGGATTATCGAGTACCTAGTGCGCTCCTGGCGAAGTTCTTCTTGTCCTTTTGCGTGATTCAAGCATTCCTCGTTCAAACGACGGTATTCAGCAGCGCAAAGTCGGATTTTCTTCAGGATTCTCCAGGATCGATAACAGCGCTGGATCGTTAGCGCTTTTTTGTTCAGGCGAGCTTGTTTTTCTTCAGCGGTTTCGTAGGAACCCGAGGTCAAATATTTGTCTCCTTCGCTTGATGTATAACAGTCTTTTCTGTGGGAATAATTGTCATTAATTTAACGCGAGTAATTTATTAATTTTTTATAAGATTTGTAAGCGGTTGAAAATTGATTTAAGAAAAAGTTTTAAGAGATATTTGCACTCTAGTCGAGTGTTAAATTGTTGTAATGATTTTTATCTGAAAATTTATCTCACCGACAAATATATTTTTTAAACTACTTGGAAAAAAAAAGTTTTAAAATCTAGAGCTGTTAAAAACATTTTAAAGATAAAAAGTTTCTGCTGACAGATAAGAAAAGCTTACTCTCTAACTCTACCACTGTTTTTGCTGGGAATTTTTGTAAGACTCTTGGTTATTTTTCACTTAATAAATGTCAACATATTGACCTAGAATAATTACAATAAATATTTTTTAGAACATGATAAATTGGATAATAATGAAAATTAACTTGCCAATTTTTGAAAATCTTCGATTTTCTTAGCGGAAAGTTAACAATTTTTTGAAAAAAAAATTAACATTTTTGTGATAAGAAATTAATTTGTTAAAAATTTTATATTTCTTAACTGAAGAAGTAAAAAATTTTCGGTAAATATTTACAAGTGAAGTTCAACATCAATTTTCATTTTTTTGAACGAAATTTCGATTTTATTTTATTGATATATACATACATTTTTTTTTTTAAATCCATAAAAAAGTGGGTAATCGGGAAAAATAGACCCGAAAAATTATTAAGTTATGAAAAATTCATATTATTTTATTAAAATTATTATAAAATAAAAATTATAATATCCATCCCCATAATTTTCCTGAAAAACAGGCACCCCCAGAGTGATCGCTCCATTTTTTGTTACAAAAAAAAATATTATTATAATTTTTATTTTAAAATAATTTTAATGAAATAATATGAATTTTTCAAAACTTTAAAATTTTTTTCGGGTCTACTTTTTCCGGGATTTAAAAAAATGAACGATTAAAAAAAAAAAAAGTTGAAGTTGATTATCTGAATTTCAACAAATTTTTAAAAAAATTTATAAATTTTTTAAGAAATTGTGATAATCAATTTTTTTTAATTGTTCGTTTTTTTTATGTACTTTTCAAAAAAAAAAAAAAATATATCAAGAAAAGATAAAACAGAAATTTTATCCAAAAATATGAGAGCCAAAATTTTTTCCAACTTTTGAATGCAAAAAAACTATCGAAATCTTTATTTTTTTTCACGAGATTTGTTATTATAAATCCGGCGTAAAAACAAGCAGAATTAAAAAGAAAAATAAAAAAATGTTAATTTTTGACCTAGATATCGCTAAAAATAAGTTTGACCCCTCTTGTAAATAATTACTTTTTTTTTTTTAATAATAAAATTATTGTGAGAAAAATTTTTATTTCTTCAGCAAAAAAAAAATTGTTTAAAATTTTCAACAAATTATTTTCTTATTTCAAAATTATTCATTTTTTTTTTTTCAAAATAAATTTTTTTCTCTCTATATTTAAGCTAATTTAACAAATATAAATCAACAAAGTTATTATGAAAGTTACTGAGTTCAAAATTGTATCCCTAATTTCTGTGCACTCAAATTATAATTACAATTTCACTCATTTAATTTACTATAAATTAAGTTATAATTAAGGCTGAAAATTGAATGAATAATTTGAATAAAATGACGTGTATAAATATGTTTATAAGGGCGTTGAGAAATTCAGAATTATTATTAAACTGGTAGCACCCAGTGAACTTATCGAACAATGAGCAATAAATTAAACCTCCACATCTGCGTAGCTCTGTTAATACAAGTTTGAAATGCATCATCTTTGGTATTAATACACTGCACCTCTCTGCTGCAGAAATTCTCAACATTGTTCACGTTTAATGGTCCTGTTTGCGATGCTGCATTGTGATATATCACACCTGTGGCTCTGTGCTTCCAGCCACCGAGATACGGTTTATTTATTCTTTGATCACCTACTCGCGCTAATGAATCCATTGTCTTGAGTTATTATCACGCAAATATTAACATTAACTACCAAAAATAAAGATAAAAAAAATTAATAATTAATTTAGAGATTTTTATTAAATTTAAACAAGGTTAGCTATTTAATTTTAGTTTACATTTATTTATAGTTTCAAAAAGAAATTGACAGCAGTCTTCTTCTTTTTTTTCTTTGATACAATTTCTCTCATCTATTTTAAATTTGTTTTTTTTTTTTTTAGTTAAATTAATTAACAGCTTGAACAATTTAAAAAGAAAAAATTGTACAACAAATAACATTTACACTTTAAATATTTATAGAGAATTAATGATGTATTATTATTATTATTATTATTATTATTAATATTATTTTATAATTATTATCATTAGCTGTTATTTTTATTTAATATTTAATTTTATTTTTTATTAATTTGTTTTTATTTCTTAATTAACAATTAAAAATCGCAATACGCGCTCAATAAATTTTGATTTAATAATAAGCGCGTAATTTGCAATTACATTAATAGTCTTTTGCAAAGACAATATTGCTGTAGCTTTTTTTACTGGCAAAACATTTAAAAACGATAAACATTTACATAAATTTATTAAAAAGCTAGTTGAAACAATTTTGAAATAATTTTTTTTTTTAATGCATGAAAAATAAATACTAAATTTAATAGTCGGAAACTAATCAGTGAAATGAGAAGATGAGATTTTAATTTTTTTTTTATAAGTTATTTTGTTTTACACGAGCTTGATGATTGGAAAATGTTGATGACAAGAAAAATCGAAGATTGGAGGTTCTTTGGAGTCTTTTTTATGACCATCAGCCAGCAGTTTTACAACAATGAAATTTGTCTTGGTTACTTTTAATAAATCATTTATCTGAAACAACAATAATAATTATTATTTATGATAATAACCGTGATATTTTGTGCTTATGAATAGTCAAAGGTTTTAAATGATATTAATGGTAAATAAAAAAACACAATGTATAACTACCTCATTAGCAGTGCTTGAATTTCTGTCCTGGCATAACGACAAAGCATAGTCAAGCATGTTTTTTGCGCGATGAAAATGTCTACATGCTGTTGTATAATGCAATTCGCTGGTAATTATTTCCTGAAAAAATAACAAGAATTATTGTTATTATTATAAATTATTTTAGTAAATTTTTACAAGTGGGGTCAACCATTTTAATTTTCACTTTTTTTTAACGAAATTTTTATGTATCTCGTGAACTATTGACATTTTTAAAGATATAAGCTCATCTCGATGTTACACTCATCGAGAGCTTTCATTTGAGTACCCACATCAATTTTTCATATATTTATATATATTATATATATATGTATATATGAAAAATATATCAAAATGCATGTGGGTACTCAAATGAAAGCTCTTGATGAGTGTAACATCGGGATGAGCTTATATTTTTAAAAACGTCAATAGTTAAGAAAGTACAGTGCAATTTAACATAATTAAGAAACGACCTTATATCTTGAGAACTATTGACATTTTTAAAGATATAATCTCATCTCGATGTTACACGCGTTAAAACCTTTCATTTAAGTACCCACATCAATTTTTCATATATTTATATATATTATATATATATGTATTTATGAAAAATATATCAAAATCCATGTGGGTACTCAAATGAAAGGTCTTGATGAGTGTAACATCAGGATGAGCTTATATCTTCAAAAACATCAATAATTAAGAAAGTACAGTGCAATTTAACAAAAGTAATTATTTTATAAAACAAAATTTTATCAAGTCACGGCAGCCACATAGTGACTGCAAAGTTGCTAATTACCATTTTTATTTAATTAAAATAATCAAGTGTTTAATAACTTTATCGATTACTAGATGTTTCGCCGGGTGTTGGTCGAAACTATTGTATACAACAAATAAATTTATTTTTCGACATTAAAAACTTTTAAACTTTAACAAAAAAAAAAAAAGTCATGATTTTAATAATAATCTAAAATAAAACTTACATTATTTTTATGTGGATGCGTATTAGTGAGATCTAAAAACTTTTCATAGTTAGCAGCAGGCGGTAGCAATAACGACGAAAAAGGCGATAACAATCTATGTTTATATCTAACACGTTCCGAGTCAAACTCTTTTTCCGGCGACGGAATCTTGCCATCCATCCTTAACCCAACAAGAGCTTTGAAGTAACCACCACAAATATTCTGGAGCACTTGATACATGAGCATCTCCAAACTATACGGCCGAGGAGTGACTTTCTTTTTTTTATTTTTAGCACTCTTCTTAGCACCCCGTCCTTTGTGCATCTCGGTGTGAATATCCTGCTCCATTAAAAATGAGTCAGCTCTAGTGAGAGCAGACACCAGCCACCCGTACAAAAAGTGATTCAGGTACCAGAAGATGTAGTGATACTCGTGGACCGAGTATAGCTCCAACTCAAACCCGCTGAGCAGGTACATGACCATCACACGAACCGTGTGGTACAGTAACCAGGTCCCGAAGCAAGCCAGGTGCGACCTGGACGTGTCATTTTTTAATGACAGTGTATTAAGATGCCGGTCCACCCGCTCCGCCTCATCATGCAAAGTCGCGAAATCTTCCAGCATGTGCGCTAACTTGTCTCTCTGTCTCGCTCTGTTGTGACCACTCAATTGCAAAAGACTATTGAACAGCGTCGTACAGTGATAGAAAAATGTCTCTACGCACTCTCTAGCCTGGTGATTTTGCAACAACGTGCTCTTGGGCAGCAACGCGGGCGGAGCTGTAAAATTCTTAGCCGCGTCTTTGAGAATGTCCGTAAAATTGTGCGTACCAAAGACTCGGTTGCCTCCAGGGAGATAAACTATCTGGAGCATCGACCTGGATAAAATACATGGGTTCTGTCTCGAGAACTCCAGAAAGAAATCAAGCGCGCTGTGGAACCCCGAGCAGCTGGTGACCTTCGTCACGGTTTTCAATCTGTTGATCAGCTCCTCCATGTACTCCAACGCCTCGGTCCTCGGTTTTATTTTAGTATACCTGCAAAATATTTAGGTATATTTATTGATGATAATCTCAACTTTAATTCAAATGCTGATTACGTATTAAAGAAAATTGCAAAAAAAAATTAGAGTTAAAAGATTACAGTGTTCAATAAGTGCGTTTACGAAAACAATAATTTATAACACACGGGGAGAAAAGAATAGGAATCTTATTCCTATGTAGAATGGTAACCATGACTATGCTACATAGTAACGAAAATTTTTGTTAAAGTTCTGTGTAAATTTGCTGATAAAAGTCTTAGAAATTGTGATAAAAATATGAACAGCCACCCATTCATTGCGGAATTAAATTCTTAACATAATGATGTTGTTTTTTTATTTTATTGATAAAAATTTCAATTTGTTATTAACAAAAAACATAAATAAAATAAAAAATCTTAGTTTTTCGGAAATAACTCAATAACTATTGGTGATATCAAAAATCGGAAAAAAGATTCTTTTCACAAAACTGCCGTCGTATTTTAACATCAGCGCGGCCGGGCGGAAAAAGTATATATTTTTCATATATACATATATATATAATATATGAAAAAAATTGATGTGGGTACTCAAATGAAAGATCTCGATGAGTGTAACATCAGGATGACCTTATATCTTTAAAAATATCATTAGTTGATAAGATACAATGTAATTTCTTAATTATTGACGTTTTTAAAGATATAAGCTCATCCCGATGTTACACTCATTGAGACCTTTCATTTGAGTACCCACATGCATTTTTCATATATTTTATATATTTCATAAATATCATATATATAAAATATATAAAAAAATTCATGTGGGTACTCAAATGAAAGGTCTCGATGAGTATAAAATCAGAATGGGCTTATATTTACGAAAATGTTAATTATTGAGGAATGCCCATTGCATATTGTTAACTAATGATGTTTTTAACTATAAAAATTCATTCCTAAAATTTCAAAATTAAAGACGTGTGTGCAGGACAACGTCTGTTGAGTCCGCTAGTGTATATGTAAATATGAATAGCTAAAAGTTAATGTAATCAAGTACAATTAAATAAATAAATTATTATTATTATTGTACCTCGGAAACGTCGGAGGCAGCAGCCGCTGGTTCACCATTGGGTCAAACCCCATGATAGTCGGATGATTCGAAACTTCATCAGCTTTGCTGCCTCTGCTGACTGTCTTAATCATCACCTGGATCATGTCCGTGCAATTAGACAGCAGCCGCTGAATGTCGGTCAAATTTAGCGTGACGTTGTCCTTCTTGCCCATCATGGACAGAGCTAAGTAGAACATTTTGGTGAATCTTATCCTGGCGTAGAGCGCCAGGCCTTCATTGTACTCTTTCTCGGTTTCTTCGTTAACAGGCTTGATCCTACTCTTGCGATGCAGCTCCTCTTCAACTTCCTTCAACATTGATATTGTCTTGCTCTCAGTCACTTCTAAGTGCAGCTTGTAGCCGTAGGTGATGCTCTGGAAGTCCTCTTCTTCAAATACCATCGCGCGGTTTATAGAATTTTTTATTATCTCGATTATTTGGTAGACTGCGTAGCAGAAGGTTTTCAAAGGCTTGTCGAGGATTTGAGCTGGCTGGTGGAGGTACAGGTTTGTAAATACGGTTTGTGCGAGGTTGTGACCTTCTAACCAAGATACTATACACGCGTAGGTTGAATCTATGATGCCTATCACTTCTGAGGCTGTTAGGTTGTCTAGTTTTATTGCGCCTGACTCTACAGCTTGCTCGAATGTGTACAGCTGGTTGTTTCCGCGGTTACAAAGCATTCCTGCGTCCATTTTTGGATCGATCGTATAAAAATTTTTTCAAATAAAAGTTATTGAAAATTGTATTTAAAAAAATTGTCTCTTATAATTTTTTCATAAGACCAATAAGAAAGCCGCAATTTCAAAATTGAGATTTTATAATTAACAAAAAGAAAATAGAAATTTTATAAATAACAATACTAATAATGTTTATCAATAATTTAGCGATGTGAATCCATCAATAGGAATGCTGATCGGTATATCTGCTATTTGAAATGCGGCTCTACTTTATCCGCATTCCTGAAGAGTATCTTTTTTAAATTCACCTCTGTTATTTGATCGAGAGTATGCTCGGAAAATTGGTACTCACTGGTATTAATGACCTGTGTGTTTGTTCAATCAATATTGATTTGGTAGGTTTAATTAGTTGACGGATAACGGTACGGAGAATTTAATTCGTTTAATAAAGATATCGAAATTACCAGATCTGTTTCTTTGGAGGAATAATAATCTGTATAAAGTTATTAAGGAGAGTCTAGCAACAACAATAGTATAGCAGTGAGAAAAAGTATGTAAATTAGAATTATATTTAAAATTGAAAAATTTTTTCAAATTATTAAAGCTTAAATAGTACTTATTATTTTGTAAAAGTTTCAGGAGTTATTCTTAAAAACATAGAAAAAAATGTCCAGTCAATACTAATATTATAAAGAAGAAAGATTTGATTGTTTGTTTGCATTGAATAGGTTTCAAAACTAGGTAGGCAACAAGATTTATCTGAGAGATAAATTTTCGTAATATTCTTATTAGCAATTTCTGTTCTTTTATTTTTTTTTTCTTTTTGTAAGCTAAAAATTCTATTGTATTATTATATTACTATATCTGTATTTTATATTATTATATTTTGTCATTTTTTTTTTTTAATTTGTTTAAAGTCGCATAAACTATTAAGGTCATGAGCGACTACGGTAGGGGGTAAAACTTTTGAGATTGGAACTCGTTTGTATTTCTTGGGCTGAGCAGAATAATACACTTAAATATTGAAAATATTCATTGGTGTACGCTGGACTCGAACCCGGTCCAATGCTTTGGTAGCAAGGGCCGGATCCGATAGGCTACTGCGCGCCTATATTTTGTCATTATATCATTATATTTGTAAGATTAGATATTTTTTTTTAAATTATAAAAATGTATATATATATATGTACACCGCATGTCATTAAGCTATGTTTTACAACATTGTAGCGACCCTGTTATTGGCCTATGGGCTATTAGGTTGATTTAAAAATAAATAAATAAAACTACTGAACCGATTTAAAAAATTCTTTCACTGTTGGGAAGCTACACTATCCCCGGGTGACAACTATATTATATTATAATTAATTTTGAAATTTTCGTTAAATACCCATGCCATGCTGGGACGGATTGCTAGTATTTTTATAAATGTAATTTTTACATTATAAAAAATATTAATTTAAGATGTGAAAAAATTGATTCTTCTATCAATATGTTCTGAAAATTGAAAGGAAAGAAACAGAAGTGTTTTATAAAATAACTAGCTTTAAATATGGAGCTTAAAAAAAATGATAAAGTTACATCCTTAATGTTATTATTAAAATAAATATCAATAAACATAAAATCCGGTGTTTTGTTTTTAAAATGAAATAATCCAATGTTATTCTTGGACACATTAAGCTTCGTAATCCTCTACGATGATTATATATGAAGTAATATCCAGCGAGGAGCGAAACCCTCAGTGAATCATTAATTATTATTATATATTTGTTGTAGATTTATAGGATTTATTTCCGTATGTTAATAAAAGCCCGTACAATCTATTTTGTGTAGGAGAAGTGTGTAATGTATCATACGCCTGTATGGTATTCTTCAAAGCTTTTCGCTATAAATTCAGTATCGCAAAATTGTAAAACAGAGTGCTGGGTGCACATGTTTATTTGACCAATTAAATACCTCGATTTGAATTGGTGCGTATATTAATTACTCCGATATTTGAAAGTCCCATTTGGCCAATTCGACCATGCAGTCTGTATATATGTGAGTGTGTGTATAATATCAGGATGTCATAATTTTGATACATCCGGATTTGAAAGTGTGCCGTGAATGAAATAGGAGAATGACGGCTCACGTTGTATACGACTGCTATTTCAATTACATGCTGCTATGCAGAATTCTCTCGGTATGTGTAATGTATGTACATTTTACATTTTACACACATCAATTGATAGAATGTATGTAGGTGCGTAAGCGCATTATATATATATATGGAAGATAAAATAACACCGAGCCCGCAGAAATTTCTATCAATGTTTATTATTATAGCACAGCAAGTCTGCCTAAAGATTCACAAGGATTGATAATTTTTCCATTTTCACGTAATCCAATTGAAAGTTTTTATTCAACCCAGTATATAAAGCTATATCCTCCTTCATTGTAGCGTTAAAATTTTATGTCCATACATATACAGGAAGTAATATTTATTTTAGCTTTTCCACTGGGATAAATACTACCCGAAATAAAATTAATAAAAAATAAATAAACACGCAAAATAAACTAACCCAAATGACTTTTTATTATTTGCGGTTACTGATCAGTGCAACAATCGACATTTGGTTAAAGAAAAAAAATTTGTGGTGTATTGGAAAATATCCTACAGGAGTATTAAATAAATTGGAAAATAAAGTTATAACTATTTCCATTTACTTTAGAGATAAATGTATTTATATTTATTTATTCAATCAGGATTTTTCAAATTTTTACATTTCAAACCTTGCTTTGAAGTTAAAAAACGATAGTAAAAAAAAATTAAAAAATACGCTTTAATAGAAAGCCAAACTAAAAAGTAAAAAAATATTTTTTAATCAAGTAATTAACAAAAAATTTTTTTGGTGCTCTACAAAAATGCTTATAATTTTGTAACAACATGATATTTTTTTATCAAAATTTAGGAGAATGATCTTCAATGTATACTTTGTAAAATAAAAAAAACTCGATCGCCAAATTCCTTTATTATCCCAGTCGAAAAAATTTCCGAAAATCACCTATTTTTTTGATCCTCACAGTGGCTATCCCCTTAAGGCAGAGCTTATTTATTTTTTCTATAATTTCAATGAGAACCTTTTTTCAAATACTAAAAAATTTTTTTTCATATCAATCATCCAAATTTATTGATATGTAATATTTGAGCTTTGGTAAAAAAAATTTGATAAATAATGTATGAGTTGATAATTTGAGATGAATTTTAAAGAAGTGTAAACAAAAATCGGTTTGAACAAAAGCTGGAATAATTTAATTGATCTGTCATGTTGGCAATCAATCATATTTACATATCGATGATTTTTTATTCATACCTCGGTAAATACTAGAATGAATATTTGCCCAGTGAAATATGTTATGTGTAGGGATGAGAGAGAGCATTTGTGTGCATTTTATATGAGTTGGACAAAAACGAGGGAAAAAACAATAATTTTAATCAATGTATGGCGTTATTTAGCCGGAATTGGGGCAACCGAATAACACGTATACGTGTCTATGCATATATAGGTGTCAATGTTTGGAGAGGATCCAAATAACGCGAAATGCGTGGGAGTACTCTCGTTTATTCCAGCGGCGTGCTCAAAAACCGCAGATTTACTCATTTCTTTATATTAGTATATTATATAGTATAATAAAGTAACAATATATTATTCAATCGGTATTATACGATGTCATAATATACATAGAGGTATTATCACCGAGATTACTGTTTATTGATTTGTAATATAATTTTATGGCTTACTCATACATAAATTTGCCGTGAAAATCATGCTGGATGGAATTGTTAGAGAATAATATCAATGAAAAATTCAATTTAAAATTTTACTGACTGTAATATCAGGAAAAAAAAAACTTAGCATTACAAATTGAATGTTTATTGGATGATAAGAGATAAAATCAGACTTTTTGATGTGAAAACTATCAAGGGATTGTCCAATTCACGCCGACTCGTCATTAGCATTAGCATGGATATTAGCATTAATACATTAATCGCGTAAACGCAGTTATAAATTTGTGGGGAGTTTAGCAAATTAAATCAATTGTTTGCAAATGAATAGAGCGTTGGGATAAATAAATGATATCGATGATTTTGAAATTAATATTTATTGTATTGTTTATATGTTAGATTCATGAAAATGTCTATAATTGAATTTATGATTGAATATAAATAGTATTCAAAGTATTGAATCTGCGATGGAGAAGATAAGTCAAAAATTTTGGTTATTTTTAGTTAAGAATTTAGATGAAATAATTATATTAATTTTAATGAATTTTTTGGAGTAATATAAATAGATAAAATTAATATTACCATAAATTGTCAATAAATATTTGTATGAAATTAATTTAGCAGATATTTGATCATTTTTGTAATAAATAAATTATAGCAAAAAAAAATTGACGTGTAAAAATTAAAGATGCAATTTTTTAAAAATAATTTTTTGGAACAAATTTAAGTAAATTTTTACAAGCTGGGTCAACCATTTTAATTTTCATTTTTTTGAACGAAATTTCTATTTGATTTTATTGGTATATTTTTTTTTTGAAAAATAAATAAAAAAAATGAACAATTAAAAAAAAAATTGATTATAAAAATTTTAAAAAATTTTCAAAAAATTTTATAAATTATTCGTTTTTTTATTTTCTTTTCAAAAAAAGATAAAATATAAATTTTATCCAAAAACATAAGAGCCAAAATTTTTTCCGACTTTTAAAGATGATTTTTTAATTGAAATATTAATTTTTTAATATTTTCTATATCACCACCATAAACCCGACGTAAAAATAAAGAAGTATAAAAAAAATTATGATGATCGATCAATTCATCTATTTTTTATGGCCAAAAACAGGTTTTGACCCCACTTGTAAATAATTATCAAAATTTTTTATTCACAAGTAAATTTAAATTTCTATTAAATTATTTTTACACTAATTAAACAGATTTTTGAATTAGTCAATATATTTTTAAAAATAATTTATTTATATTTTTAATTTACCGAATTCATAGAAGCTGTTAGGCTGGTTCTGCAGGGGAGTAAAACATTGGCTGTATCTCGAATTTTATTGCGGTATAAAGTGGTTGCTTCTATCTATAGCCTG